CAAATTGCTCAACTCTGGAGAAACATAGATATCCATTCAAATGGATACCCATTCTCGTTACACCAAATGCACTCAAATTGCTCAACTCTGAGGATACATAGATATCCATCCAAATGGTATTCTATCCGGGTATTCATCTCGATACCCAAGTTGTGGATATTATGACATCCCTCTCATTTTCAACCTATATACCAGAACTTTTACAACAGAGATGTTATAAAACATGACAACAAAATTGTGAATGAAAAGATGAAAATATCTTGACATTTGAAGTAGAAATCTTAAACATGAATTATACATTTAAAAGAGTAAGTTTATAGGTATTTGGAACAAGATCTAAGTTATTGATGTCAATGTTTATGATGATTAATGTTCATAGCGTTAGTACTTCAAATACCCAGATATTTTCATCTTTTTCTTCACAATTTTTTTGTCATGTTTTGTAACATCTCTGTTGTAAAAGTCCTGGTATATAGGTTGAAAATGATCGAAAATTTCCGCATTTTGTTAAAATAAAACGTTTTTGCCTTGAAAACATTCTACATTCATTTATTTATTAAAATTGCATTAAAATCTCATGTATTATTGTATTTATACCAAATTTATTGGAATGATTTGAAGTAACGATGATATACGATGGGTTGATACTTAATGATATTAGCATGACCAATTAAAAGATCTCACAACTTTTCAATAAAATGGTATATTGGTTGATTTATTTATTAATATATAAATTGAACTAAAACTTATTTATACAAAGTCTAAAGTAAAATAAACGCAGAATTGTTCAGATTTTTTTTTCTATCATTTCCATATGACTTTATTGTAATTACTTGTAGAGAAAAATTACATAAATAAACAAAACAACGATATATAAATTGTTATATTGCTTGTTTCTTCCTCTTTTGTTATTTGTGTATTGATAGTATAAACGTAAATTGTTGATTGACGTCTGCAAATTTTCAATGGAATCGTTCATGTCTCAATCACTCACATCAATACGAAGATTTCGAATGTATGATATAATTACATGTGAGCAAACGTTCCAAGAAGTCAACATGTTCTTCTGTTGTCTTACGATTTTCAAAGTTGAATAGAAACGGAACGACAAGCGTCGTTAATCTGGTCTTAAGTACTTCATTTAAAATCCATACTTTCGCTGACTAAATATCTTCTTTTAATGAAACTGTATTATACATACCAAACAATTTCATCAATTAATTAATTTCGGTGATCTAAAATTGTTTAGAAATTTTATCTCATTTTAAATAAAAGACAAAAAAAAATAGCTGAAGAAATCTTTCAAATCATTCTAACAAAAAAATGAGTCAGAGTTACATCATCGGTAAAAGAGGACAAGATGTTGCAGTGACAGAATGGGTGTGCGTGTGAGTCTTGTAAACTGCGACCGTTTTCGACCGTGCTAAAGGGTCTCATCATGAAGCTTTACCCTTTGCATCTGTTCAAATGATTTCAAAATCATAAACAAAATACATAATCTGTTCGAGAGTGGGCGTGGGGTATGTGCATACATTTTCGCTTCTGACCCACAACCGGACCCATACCTTTGTTTACCGAATCTGCTTAATTCGAGTGTAAGGGGCAAACCGCTTCTACACTTTTCAATTGCGCGTTAGTGAAAAAGTACCACGTGAATTTCAAAGATATCATGCGGTTATCAAATTATCCATAAACTTCATTTCGAAATGACCTAAAAATGTGGGTGTGCTTATTCTTTGTGCAACATATCTGCTCACTTTCCCTTACTTACATGAAAAAATAGCTTAGCATTCGAAACTTCAATTCTACTACAAAACTCCAATTCCAAATGAAACGCGACTTATGTTGTCTATGCTAGCAAATTTTTCTGTTACGATTCTGAAGATTCAAATCTTCACCTTAGGTTCCCTAATATATATATATATCAAGCAGAAAGGCCCCATCAAGAACATGTCACAGCTCGCTATAATCATCCGACAACAAACAGGTGCCCACACCCTCACCCTCAAGTGATACTAGTTACCACTTACCGGTAATAGTAATGGGAATATGGCATCTCTAGCCACAACCGGTTGTGGCAGCTTCTTCGATCGCACTTCTCATCCTCCTGTATTTATAAGTGAAAACATGTTGATCTGTTTTTTAATTGATTTTATGTTTTTAGTCTCAGCTGAGGAAAAAGCCGAAGTTTCTAATGCAAGCAGATTTCAGTTCACTTCAAAATGTATTACAGGTGTCATCTGGTTGTGGAACTATTAACAAAGCGAGGGTTCATTGTCTACACTAAATGATTGGAGATGGATAGTCCACTTCTCTGTAATTATATCAAAAATGCAGGATTGTATACTAAAAGAGAAGTAAGAATTTAATAGCATTTCTTCTTCGTCGGGGAAGTTCGAATAGCTAGATATATCCACAGGATCTGCGTAGGGTATGATATCAATTTTAAATAGTACATTGCCATCATATATCTCAGCCACTACTGGATTGCGAGTCGTCGAAGTAAACGCTGGAAATGTCATATGATCCGCGCTTCCTTCCGCTTCTCGATATTGATCAATCATATCTTCGCTTAGATTTGCAGAGCGATATACAGTCATTTTATCTTTACTTCCATGTTCTGGTATTGCACTAAGAAAAAGAGCAAACGGACCAAATGTATTTACTTTTGACCAAAAAATCTTAGATTTTTCTGAATCACCATCGAATCGCATACATTCATTTAACTTTCTATAGAAAAAACCATCTTTCGTATAAAGAAAAGCACATTTTTTCGCCACTTCTTCAAGAGTTCCATCTTTAACATTGATTAATTCTTGAGCCATCTCTTTGCTCTTTTCGTCTCCTTCAATAATAAGACCTTCAGCTGCTTTTTCGACCATCTGTCGACGGATGGATTCATGCTGCAATGACGAAGAACAAAGATTAAAACAACATTCAACATCAAGTAGAAAACAACGTAGTCCGTTTTTGTCCCACTGCCCAAACGATTTTGTTAGCGGAAGCGGAGTCGGTAATAGCCGTTCATTTCGTTGTGATTCTGTTTGATTTTTCCGCGGCCCTATGCCGCATGTAACTCATTTGACTAGCCGCTCTCTTTTTCCATTCCAGTTTGATATATGAACAAAATGCTTAAAGTCTATACGATAATCGTTCAAAATGGCCTCTGTTGCTTTTTCTTGATATTTTTCTTCAATCTTCGCTGTTTCGATGTTAGAATAGGAAGTCCACTTATCTGTTTCTATCTCTTCTTTTTCAGGAAAGCACCATGGATCATTTTTATTCGTTTTCCATAGCCAAGTGACAGAAGAAACGAAGTCTTTTGCTGTCATATCTTACACGTTATCAGAGAAGTAAGCAAAGAAGAATGAAAGGTAGTGGCAATGCATCCACTGTTACATATGTGTCGGAATGACGAAGAATAGGCGTAATGAAGGAAAAGAACGGAAGGATCTCAAGGCTCTTTTTGTTTGATGAATCATAACGCATAAATATTTACTGTTAGAAGTTTCTGGAATTTCTCAAAGAGCAATAGTCGCAAAAGTAAAACATAACAATATTAAATAGAAATAAAGATTTTAGAATTCAGAGGATCGACATGACTAGTTTCGTCCTTTCTCAAAGAACTCATCAGGTATCTTTGGAATTCTATTACTACATAGATCGAAACCCTCCAAATAAATGAAGAAGTTAAGACAAATTCGCAATAATTTTATAAATCTATTTATTAGAGAATCCTTTCTCGATGTTCTTTTAATTAAGAATCAAAACAGATTACGTTAAGCGAGAGAAAAGAGGATATTATATAAGGGAGAATAAAGCATCAAGGAATACGAGTTGAATAAACACATTGTGAAGAAAGAAGTGAGTCAAGGAATGTAAACGTATGACTGTAACACTATTTCAAGAATAGAAATAAAGATTAGAGCTTGAAATCGTGTATTTGATCGTTGGTTTCACTTGAAAGATGTGTTACAATTGTAGGATGTTCGTGGGCGTATGAGAGGTAATTAGTACTGTCTAATAATTGTTTAATGTGTAATTTTATGATCTAAAATGGAGGAAATTCTTTTATCTTTTTTTTGTAATATATAATATTGTCACGTATTACGAAATGCGTAATAGAAGCTTGTGAGTTCAAGGCCACTATCGATGTTTTATTTAACCAATAGAACCGACACTACTATAACAAGACAAAGAAGAAACGAACGGAACGAGTAACTGGAAAGTAGTAACTGACTACTTGTACATGCGCAATAGAATAATCCATAGAACGAAAGAATACAAGTAGATGAGACGAAAGCAGAACGATAGAGAAAAAAAATAACGAAATCACACTACATCACAAATATTTGGCTGCTATTGCTGTTAAAATTTCTTTTAATTTGAAATAAGAAGGGTGTGTGGTGAGGGTGGGCTGTGAAGAAGCTGCTATGATCTAGATTTCGTCCACGCTTAAGGGACTCCTCAGGTGGTTTTAAGACATCTAATTCGATTACAATTAAGAATCAAATTAAATTATTATCTATACTATCGTATGAAAGCAAAATTTTTGACGAAGTATAGATAAAAGAAACTGAGAGAGGGGACTCGGCGATCGGTATGGAAACCACGAATGTTTCGATCCCTGGAGATGTTTTATCTGAGCGACTAAAATGAAAGGGGTGTATTAACATAGATGTATACATGTATATGTCTGGTTTTAGAGTCATCGGAAGCTATCGGAAATAGTAGAGAAGTAGATTGGAGCATGGATACTTAGGTTTTATAGCCGGTATATATCTAAAATAAATATGAATTTTCCTTCTACCGTTAAAGTTATGGTTTAAACAGCGAAACACATTAAACTAATGATTCGTTTTAGAAGCTGGCGGTATGTTTTAAGATTTCTTTAAAGTATGGAATACATCAATATTTGCTTCTGAGGTTTCAAATTTCGGAATCAGCTTCTATTCGTAACCTCAGATGCTATTCGAAAAGCCTATTAAATATTTGAAAACGAAGAACAAATATTTTCTTCAAAAAGAATAGTGATTACTTCGCGAAGTTTCGTCTATTGCTACAATTTCATAGATTTGAATATGTTTAGTATGCGTCTGTACTTCTAAGTCACCAGCAGTTATTCAATATTAAAGGGTATGGGTGTGTGTGTGGGGGTAGAAGCGATTAAACACCCACACTCACATATATCAAAACTGTGAATATCTTAAAAATCGATTATCTCGGTCCAGGCTTGCTATGGGGACGTAATATTTTAAATTTGTTAGTTTGGCGGTGAGAGTGATAATTTGACATGAACATGCTCAGTCAACTCGATTAACCATAAAAAAGGTTCCATTGTAAGTAAAAGTAAGAGAGCAAAGAAAGTAACAGAAATCAGACGAGTAGGACAGTCTTGAGAAAGAAAAATTTATCGTGTCGTATTACTAAATAGCATTTAATTTTTCAACACTCAATATATGCTTTGGTTTCTTTTTGGAAATTGACATAAGAAATGAGAAACAAGACGTGTCATCATAATAATACCAAAGCATAAGCTATATCACTGTTGAAAGCATTAATAGGTGAGTAGTTCTCATAAGACAGAAGAATATCGAGTAGGATATAAAAAGCTGTTTGCATTCATTGGTCACAGCTCTATCCAAACCTAGTCAACATAAGAGAATCTGAATCTAATGTTCACTGTGATAAACATTGTAATAATACATTTGTTGTTGAAGCGAATAGTTGATTTGATAATTTTAGAGAAGTATTATGAAATCTTGACGAAAAACAATTGTGAAAATAATCGATCTTTTGTATTGGTTTTGTTTTATTCGTAATATTTATCATGAATTTAATGATGGGTGTGGACATAAAAGTAGACCAAAACATGTTCATCATAACTTGAACGTTTTATCATGTGATTTCCAAAATCTTTAAATTATCAAGCAAGTTCTTCATATAAAATAATTATCGGCAAAGTTCATTCTTTCTATCTTTTACAATTCACTAACATGAGTCTCTTTAATTTTTCGTGGAACATGCGAATTTCGACCGGACTCTTTATTTTGTACCTCCCTGTAGTAAAACAAAAACACGCGTCAATCGTCATATAATCACGTAATATACGCTGGGTGTAATGGAAAATTTACTTTCATTACCTCAAGCTTTCAAAATGTCGAGATTTTACTGTCATACTGACATCAAAATATTCTAAGTCGTTTGGTTTCTATAATTGAAAACCTTAATGGAGCAAGATCTATATGCACTTTGAATTAATTTGAATATATATAATCTCTCTTCAGTTCTGAGGCCATTTGGCATTCTCATGAAAAACCATTTTTAACTTAAATATTAAATTAGTAGAATCGCCCTCTTCGAATTATGCTGTTATTATGAACATTTACAACAAAATCACAAGCGAACAGTAACTTTATTTGCAATGCCCTCTTGCTTTTATTTTAAAACGAAAAGATACTATGGAGATTCATTGATATCATTGAGAAAAACATGAAACGTATCATAGAATAATTTTGATCTAACATAAAAACATGTCGACTCTTGTTGAATGGAATTGATCGAGTGAAATATAATCTTCTTAAGTAAAGTTTCTTTTACTTTCGTAATATCATATTTGTATACATTAGAATCGACGAAGAATAAGTATATGAACTCAACGTAGACGGTTGGATCGTTGCTGACATAAATAATTACTATTAAGAAGAGCGATTGTGATTTCACAAGTCGAAAACATTTGTCAATTGTCTCATAGAATTTCGTGTCAACATTCTGTAATGATTTCTTGTTTTTCTTTTCATAGGATTAGCATGCATGAAGATTGCACAACATAAGGAAGTTTAACAATATAAATTCCTGTTGTATTCCATACTATTAACAAATCTATATTTTTCAGACGTTTCGACGTTAATATCGATTATATTTTCAATTCTCACATAATAGTAATGGCTACTATTATTAATGACGACTTCTCTGATGTTATACGTCTGAAAGAACAAGCGGATGAAACTTTCAAGGTAAAGATATTTTGACAGATTGAGAGGAGCAAAAGAGGAAGATCAGGGATAACAAAGGGGAGACGAAAAAAGGAGACAAACAACGGGATGTTGAAAGTTAAACAGAAGGACAGATACTGAAGAGAAAACAAGATCAACTGACCATATATAGAGAAAAAAGGAACGACGCAAAAAGGTCATCATGATATTGTGATGAGCGATTTGATATTACGTTCATAGAGTTAGCGTCATAAGGTGACATCTGCTGACGCTA